CGTAATCATTTAGAAATTCTCGCTTTGTCTATGTCCAAAACAGCCTAAATGAAGGGGGCTTTTCACTCCTCTTTGCCCCGTTTAACTTTTTTACTTCCGTGGCACTCCCATCTCGAACTGAGTTTAATGCTGTGTTTGGGAGGGGAGGAATGGAAGGAACTAAGGAAAGGAGGGAAAATGGGCTGGGAAAAAAAATGAAGGAGAGAGTCACGACCAGGAATTCTTTTGAGAGGGGGTGTCATTGAAGAATTTTTTAAATAATTGAAGATAATTTATTTTAAAATAAAATAAAAAATATTAAAAGTTAATTTTAGTTGATAATATTTTTGTTTATTATATTTACAAAAATGAGAGAAGGGATAAATAAGTAGAGAGTGACAAAATGAGGGAGTGAGTTCTTAGGTGGTGTTGCCTACCCAACCATATATTCCTAGGACTCTCTACATCCGAATCAAATGTAGTAGGATAAACCATGACAGAAAACTATGTTAACAAAGAAATAGTAATTCAACTTTAATTCTAATTAATCAATGTGTATTTTGCTCTTGTAATACATGTATTTATAATAAACAGAAGCTGGCAGTATAAGGAAATCTTAAAAAAAAAAAATCCTAAAACAAGTCCAAACTGGAACTATCTCTTAAAATTACGAAAAATTAAGAAGATTAAACCTAATCACTAAAAATTACTAAATACTAAAAATCAAAAGAATTCAAGTCCCTAACCTCTAACAATATTACGAAATATTTAACAGGGGTTCTATGGGATTGAAAAACACTACATGAGAAGGAATTTGGCTAAAAAGTAGGTATTTATCACTGAATAACTTGATTTTCGTGAACATTTATTATTGGGTTATTTTTTATTAGAAATGAATATTAACGAGTCAAAACGTACCCGTCAAAACTACCCCAAAAATCCTATCTAACACGCCCATTCCAACTTTTGACAATCTAAAGGGATTTTTAGGATTCCACAAGCATTTTTCATCTTTTTTATCTTCTCGATCTTCCTTTAGATTTACATCATTTGTACCGAACAAAGGATCATTCTACTATCTTTGATCGTGAAAATGAGACGCCACCTTTAGGCTTCGATACGTCCATTTCAATGAAAAAGTAGGGTTTGAAAGATACGCCAATGTGGTGATCATCAAAAGGACGTCTTTAACCACTCATCCATTTAGGCTCATGAGTAGTTTCTCTTGTTAGACAAGGACATGAATAACTGAAACTCAATGTAGGACAATATATTATTGGGGGTTAAATTTTAGTCACGAAATGAAATTCATTATAAAGATTATTTTATTTGAGACCGAAATGTGAAAGTTCGTGGCAAAATGTATTTTCTAGATGAAGCTTGCGACAAAAATTTAGTCGTCGGTGAAAGTCTTCATTTGACAAACTTCGAATATGTACAATTACTTACAAATTACACTTATCATTTAAACAGGGCCATTCGTGAGAGTTTATAAATATGTTTATAAATGACTAATGTGAATGTGATTTATAGATGGAAATGGATATGAATGTTAATTATTGATGTGAAACAGAAATTCAAATGTATGATATGTTAATTTTTCCCTTTCACATGCATGCTTGAATTAAAAAGCAATAAGGTACACAATTGATGGTTCTAATTCGAATGAAATGTAAAAGAGGAGGAATGTAAGGTCACAACACATATCTTTCAGTTTCCATTGCCCGTTGTTCTAGTTCTGGTTCGCCGTTCGCAAGCTTCAGCCGCTGTCTCTCAACTCTCAAGCTTGCCCTCCTCTCTCTCCGCAACTGCTAACTTGTGTGTATGGGTTTTGTTTTAAATTTTTTTTCTAAATCAACTAATCAAGCTCTGTAATTCTTGTTTTGCAAACTAAATCGTATTTGGTGAAATCAAGCTCTGAAATTTTTTATTTGTGAAATTTTTTATTTCTAAATCAACTAATCAAGCTATGTCATAATAGTTATTATCATAGATGATTTTGTAGTTCATATATATATATTTATATATAGTATGTATTTGTGTATATTTTGCCTCTCCTTTCAGCTGCAAAGGCATAGATCTGATGATCTGTTTCGTACCCATTTCAACTTCTGATCTTTAGGATTCCACAAGCATCTTCCATCTCTTCTATCTTCTCGATCTTCCTTTAGATTTACATCATTTGTACCGAACAAAGGATCATTGTACATGAGACGGATAGTTAGGGTCGTTTGTTTAAGCGGATAGCCACATCTTTAGCCTTCGATACGTCCATTTCACTGAAAAAGTAGGGTTTGAAAGATGAGCCAATGTAGTCATGATCATCACAAGGACATCTTTAACCATTCATCCATTTAGGCTCATGAGTTGTTTCTCTGGTTAGACAAGGACATGAATAACTGTAACTCAATGTAAGACAATATATTATTGGGGGCAGCTAAATTTTAGTCACGAAATGAAATTCATTATAAAGATTATTATATTTGAGACCGAAATGTGAAAGTTCGTAGCAAAATGTATTTTGTAGACGAAGCTTGCGACAAAAATTTAGTCGTCTGTGGAAGTCTTCATTTGATTAGCTTTGATGAAAGGAAGAAGGAAGTATTTGCAATAAAAAAAAAAAATTATATTCTGAAAACGGTAGACTTTGAATATGTGTAATTATTTACAAATTACACTTATAATTTAAATAGGCTACCCGTACGAGTTTATAAATAAGTTTATAAATGACTAATGTGAATGTGATTTTTTTTTTTGACGGAAATGAATATGAATGTTAATGGTTGATGTGAAACTGAAATTCAAATGCATGCTTGAAAGAACAAGAAGGTACACAATTGATGGTTCTAATTCGACAGAAATGTTAAAAAAGGTGGAATGTAAGGTCACAACACATATCTAGATATAACTCTGTCTCTGACACTAGACAAGGTGAAGGACACCATGTTATATAATCACTTTGTGCCCTAGCTTTTGGGGCACCGGTGGTCCCTTTATTATTTCATAAAGCAGGTCTAAGTAGGGTGGTTACGAATCAGATCGAATTAGGCATCTCGATTTGCTCCCAATAAATTAGAAAATTTTTAATATTCGCGAATTAAGTTTTATCTAAATTATTCATTATTATTATTATTATAATAATAAGTAATGGAGTATTATTTATTATTTATTTATCTTTAACCCTAATTCAGTAGATAAAATTTTAATTTATTAATATTAATTCATAAATTTAAATAATTATTAACTAATACATCATTAGAGTACATTAAATTATCATTAACTAATATATTTTTTCAAAAAATATATATAAATTTCATGAATCGAATCGGACTCAAGAGTCAGATTTTTAACAATTCAATCAGTGATTCGATCCGTAAGTTACGGATTCAATTTTTTTGAATCCACCACCGATATGTGAATGTAGTAATCTGATCCGATCCGTGCGGATCGGACCGGATCGAATAGAATTCGCGGATTCACAAATTATTTGCCCCACTCTTACATCCAAGCCTATAGTTTGTGTGAAGTACATTTTTCTAAAAGGAACAAATGGGGTGCATATAATTTACATACTCAAAATAATAATAATAATAAAATAAAATAAAAATCTTAGCCTCTTCACCTGAAAGTGATTAGGATTATTGTTTAAGATTTTATGTTAAAAAATGTATCTTAATTTTGAAAAAAGTTTCAAAGGACAACGAAGTCCAACTTTTCACAAAAATTTCCAACAAAATTCTATAACTAATACTACAGTTCTTCTTTTACCTTTTTCGTATATCATGTATGTTGCGGGATTAACTAATTTTCTCCAAACAATTTTGCTAATATTTGATTGATAATAAATAATTTAAGAAAATTATATTTCAAATTCATGTTATATTTAATATATTAAAGATAATTTGAAGATAATGAAGTAGAAAATCAACTATAGTGTAATTAAGTTTAAAAAAGCACTTATAATTCTGTATGATCTCTCAACTTGATTTATCCACAGTTATTAAATATAACATGAATTTGAAAATATAGGGAACATAAAAAATAAAAAATAAAAAAAAGGTCTAGACGAAGAAAATGTCAAAATCAACTTTAAAATCAGACCCGGCTTCGTGTACTTAGTGACAAGTGATAACTGATAACAACCCTTCGATGCTGTACTTGTACATGGTTTTGTGGTTTACAAAGATTTCCGTAACATTTTTTGGTTTTAGTCATTGTGTACACTGTGTTTGGTATTAATAGGAGGATGAAGAAAAGAATTAGTAAGAAAAATAGGGGATAATGTTAGCTCTTGATTGTGTTTGGTTGATTAATAAGGAAAAAAAAAAAAAAAAAAAAACTGAATTGATAGTGTAAATACCTGAACATGTTTGGAGAGAGAAAGGAAATGGAATTACTTTAAGTTTGTGTTTGGCGGCGTGGAGTTAAATTGGTGGAAGGAAAAAGGGCACTAAAATTGCTTTTTATGGAGACATTTCATGGTTAAAAATGACCAAAGGTTGTGTAGTCTAGTGTTATTTTTTTTTTTTAATTTTTAAAGTAAAAAAATTAAGAGTTCAAGTCTCTATAAAAGAAAGTGAATGTGTGAGTGTATTTCTTAACTTGAAAAAAAAAAAAAAAAAGAAAATAAAATTAGTCGAAACGACTTCACTATAGTGATTGAGGCGGACAATGCATGAAAGCACGTTTTATGTCTCCTTTCATTCATTCACCCTCTCATTTTCGATACTTAAATAAACGACATCCAGTATATTAAGTGTGAATTCGAATGGCTTCTATTGTCCAAGTCAGCGACTTAAAATCTAACACTTGTTATGAAACTGATATGGATGTGGAGTCATCCAAGTAGCAAAAGCAATTGTTGCAAACCACAGAGGAAGAAAACAGAGAAGTCCTCCTAATTATCAATTGTCTCTTGTCCAATATAAAGTTAGGACACATTAATTGAGAGTGACTAGAGATGGCAATATTGTCACAGTACTAGTGTGTGTCTATATAACCATCAAAAAGGAACTCCCCAATTCACTGCCTTTCTGTCTCTCTTTTCCTTGCTCTCAACTCATCTCCAATGCACGTACATCTCTCTCTCTCTCTCTCTCTCTCTCTCTCTATATATATATATATATATATATATTCATATTAAATATCAAATTAACCTTATAGTTTATTTGTCTCACTGTTGTAGTCTACACACACATATATATATCTATTAAATCTTAGTGTTTGTTCATTATTTTAATTAACATTATAAGTAGTGAAAAAGTGTCACTCTACTTGATTTTATATTAATCATCTCTAATAAACTTTCGTCTAATTGGTATTATATACTACCATTACTGATGGAACAATTGCTTGTGTTAAATCAGTTCCTAACACAGATGGAGATAAAGAAAGAATTCAAAGGGAAGTACTCAGACAAAATTCATGGGAACATGGTTGAAGCTGCATCCACTGCAGTTATTGCGCCTGCAACGACGACGACGACTAGCAAAGAAGAGTCTGACATAAGTATACAAAAAATGCCAAGCTTGGACTTAAAAAGAGTGTCACCAAGTGGAAAAACCATACGCAAAACAAAGTCGCTGAGCGCGCAGTTCTTAGTGAATATAGACCATCTTATTGATAATATGACCTGTAGCTTTGATGAAACTGCAGGCCCCATTGTTGGTAGAGCTCCTACCGACGAATTGGGATTTTTTTCAGTCGCTGCATCCTCATTTCCTTCTAACGACATCTCAGATGTCATGAGATTGCAGAACGAAAATCACGGTAACTAGCTAGTACTAGCAGCATCAATGCTGAAACTATCACTAATATCATCAGGAGGACTGTGACCTTATTGTTTACTATTAACATGCTAGCTTACACTTTGTACAGTGTGTGTGTGTGTGTGTGAAGTAAGATGTTTTATGCTGGCTTTTACAACTGAATGAACTGCTCATTTTGTCTTTCTAAAGCAGAAGATAGTGCAATGGATCAATCTTCACCAGTTGATGAAGAGTATCAAGATTCACAGAGTTGGAGGAAACTACACATTGAACCTACCTTACCAATATATCTCAAGGTTCTAACTTTCATAATTTCTTGAAAAACTCGAAGTTTAGACATGAAAATATTGTTTGATTTCCATTGCTTGTATTGCAGTTTCAAGATGTCAAATACAAGGTAGCAGTGAAGGAAGAAAACCAGTATGCAGAGAAGTCCATACTGCATGGAATTACAGGCTCGGCACGTCCGGGAGAGGTTCTTGCACTCATGGGACCATCAGGAGGTGGCAAAACAACCCTACTTAATCTTCTTAGTGGGAGGGACAAAGTTAATGGTGGTATCATCACTTACAATGATCAACCATACACAAAATCCCTAAAGCAAAGGTAAAATAGCACGCATAAATGTTGATACACACACACACACACACACTTCGCTTCGAAATAATTGTTATCAAGTGACTGAATGATATTGATCATATGGATAAAAACAGGATTGGATTTGTGCTGCAAGATGATATTGTCTTTCAACACCTTACCGTCAAGGAAACCCTAGCATATGCTGCTTTGCTTCGTCTTCCTAATACATTAACCACGGAACAGAAGAAAGAAAGAGCCATAGATGTCATAAGTGAGCTTGGTCTTGAAAGGTGTTCTCTGATTAACCATTGTGTTTTAAGAGTATTATTATTATAAGTAGCTATGTTACTATTTATTGGTCTTAATTAATTAAATTGATTTTGGATTCTAAACTTCCTCATATCACTCGAATTATTATCTTTGTTAAGGCTGAAAAACAAAAAGATTAGCCAAGATCATTTTGTTGCCGTTTATAGAAGTTTTAAAGTTGGTTAGAGAGTAAAACAATGGTACATGTGATGTTAGGTGCCAAAATACAATAATTGGAGGTGAATTTGTGAGGGGGATTTCTGGTGGTGAGAGGAAACGAGTCTGCATTGGCAACGAAATCCTTCTCAACCCTTCACTTCTGTTCTTAGACGAACCAACATCTGGTCTGGATTCAACAACAGCACTTCGAATTATTGAGATGCTGCACAACATTGCAGAGGTACTAAAAACCTTCCCTATGTGACAAATTTTGGAAATTTCATGATCATGACATGAAATTAATTTACTGTTCTAGGCTGGCAAGACAGTGGTCACTACTATACATCAGCCTTCAAGCAGACTCTTCACTAAGTTTGACAAGTTAATTCTTCTGGGTAAAGGAAGTTCGTTGTACTCTGGAAAAGCCGCGGATGCTATGTTTTATTTCTCCTCAATTGGTTGCTCTCCGCTTATAGCGATGAATCCAGCAGAGTTTCTGATTGATCTTGCAAATGGGAACATTAAGGACAAGTCAGTTCCATCAGGATTGGAGGACAAGTTGTTGCCTAGTGCCCAAAAATCTGAAATCAAACATAGAAGACCTTCCCCATTTGATGTCCATGAGGTCTATAACAATACCTAATATAACTCATATTTAGAGACTTTATTTGGCTTATAACAATCTTGCTTTCAATGTGTTTTTCTTCTTTGCAGTATCTAATAGCGGCATTTGAAGAAAGAGTTACAAATGTGGAGAAAACTAATAAGTTACTGAAACCTGTGCGGATTAATGGTTATGTTCCTGAGACACGGGAGTGGTTAAATTCAAGGGACTTAGGAGCAACTTGGTGGGAACAGTTCTCGATTCTTTTTAGGAGAGGTCTAAAGGAGAGGCGCCATGAATATTTAAGCAGTGTTCGAGTAACTCAAGTTATATCAACTGCTATAATCGTAGGACTGCTTTGGTGGCATTCAGATGCTTTGTCTCCCAAGCAGCTTCATGATCAAGCAAGTGTTACGAACAAAATTATGAATACCTTTCTTATGTTAATTTTTGTAGGTTTTTTTTTTTTTTTTTTTTTTTTTTTGTTGTAATTGTGGTTTGATCAAACACATGCAGGCAGGGCTGCTGTACTTTATTTCGGTTTTTTGGGCATTCTTTCCTCTATTCACAGCCATTTTCACATTCCCACAAGAAAGGGCAATGCTTGCTAAAGAGAGATCAGTAGACATGTACAGACTCAGTGCATATGTAATTGCCAGAAACACCAGTGATCTTCCTCTGGACCTTATATTGCCTATAGTTTTCTTGGCAATAGTCTATTTCATGGTGGGCTTAAAGCACAGTTTCGCTGCATTTTCGTTAACCTTGCTTACAATTTTCCTCAGTATTATTGCTGCTCAGGTTAGAATCTCAAACCTACAATAAACTGTTTTATTAACCGTTTCTATCTAGAATCACAGAAAGTATAATCAAGTCAAAAACTTGAAAACTTTTGCACTTCAAAATTGCAGGGTCTAGGGTTGACAATAGGCGCAGCATTCATGGATGTGAAGAAAGCAACAACACTGGCTTCCATCACCGTCATGACCTTTATGTTATCTGGTGGATTTTTTATTCAGGTCAGTTGGCTTTACCAGTAAAATTCAGCAGAATAGATGATTAATAGAATGAATTAGCTCATTCTGAGCTGGGTGTAGAGATATAGCACTCTTATAACCGACATAAATTTGATTCGATCATGTAATTTTTCGGTGCAGAGTGTTCCATCTTTCATGTCATGGGTACGTTACATCTCTCTCAACTATCACACGTACCGGCTACTCCTAAAGATTCAGTACAGCTGCTCTGGTTCAGGGTCTGGATTGGATTCTTGCGAGTCTCTCTTCATCAGAGGACAAAGGCTCGACGAAGGGGGAGCAGAAGTGGGAGCTCTGTTGGTGATGATTATGGGGTATCGAATGTTGGCCTACATTTTCCTCAGGAGGATGAAATTAAGGACTATGACATAGTTTATCTCATGCTTTATTGAGTTGACATTACCAAAGTAGAGGATTGTTATGCTCCTCATTAAGCTATTGTTTATCTTCAAATGTTAATTAGCTTGAGACTATGATGTTTTCAAGCATTTCTTTTGTGTTTAATGAGGCAAGTAATTAACAGAAATCACCCTCCTCTGTGCTATTTATTTTTGTTGAGTTCATTATCAATTTTAAATTGTTGTGTAACATACTAATTAAACATGTTTATCTGTGTATCAGTGTATGTCACTAAAACAAGGCAAGTTGTCATTCGGACTAAGCAGTTCATATATTCTTATTCAACAAATAAAAGAGGAAATTTGCATGGACTAAGTGTTCGAAATTGAAATGAGTCTTGGGTTAAGAATGAATTTGGATTGGAATGTTGAAATATTTGACTCAAACCTCATTAAATTGATGGCTATGATGGTTTTAAGAAGGGGGGGGGGGGGGGGGGGGGGGGGGGGGGTGGGGTAAAGAAAAGTTTACAGAAGAGAATAGCGATAGCTAAAAGTGATTGGCTTCACTGATCTTGATTGTTAAATCATATAACAATATTAAAGCCCCAAAATAAGTGCTGAAAACTTAAAGCACCAAAATTGTATAGCTAAAAATTTAAGCTAAAGCTGTTGTAGCATATTAGTAATTCTGTACATAAAACTTGGCAATTAGTAATTCAGTACGTAAAACTGGTTTGTACAAGAGGCAAGTTGGTTTAGAGAATACCTGCTCTAAGAAAAATGTAAGACATTGATTTTTTCAAGTGACACTAGAAGGATATACTAAATGCATGTTCTTCAATAAACCTTGCGTGTCCGGATTCCATGCTATTGTCATGCATAGGGGTCCTCATCGCATCATGAATTGCTCTATCAATCATTAAAGAAAGACAAAAATAGATTAATAATTGAAATACAGTTGTAAGCAACGTGATTACAAAATAAGGTAGATTTAAAACAACAGACCTCCAGGTTCTCTCATAGGAGCCATAGAGGGATGTAGTGGTGTCCTTGAAGGATGCATTGGGGTCTCACTTCGGAACCATATCCAGGTGTGCCGCTGGTGAAACAAAACCAATTAGGAAGATCAAACCGTATTAAAAAAAACTTGATACAAAGGCAAACCAATTATTACCGTGATAGAGTTGAAAAAATCACGTTGTCTGAAATATGATTGCGATCAACTGCAAAGACAACAATAGTTATCAACAGAGCAAACAGGATATATAAACAAGGACGCTTGGAAAATAACTCCACATATGGATCAAGAGGAAACTTGCCTGAAACGACCTTCATCTGGGACTCCAATTTGACCAGGACTGATGGACCCTTAACATCTACAACACACCCACAGAAGCCCTTAAAGGGACCCTGTCGAACTTGTATAGTAGCACCAACCAAAGCATCGTGCCCTCTTCCACCTCTATGCCTTCCTCCAGCTACACCATAGTAGTAAAAAGACTCTGAAATCTCATTTCTTGATTATTTATTATGGTGATTATAACCAGAAAGTGAACAGAAAATTTAAATAAAAATGTATAAGATAAGAAAGCATTAAGTTCTAAACATCAGCCACCTAAGGGAGGGCCGCCTCTAGAAAAACTCCTTGGAGACTCGGGAACAAGAGGTGGAGTTCTCAGATGTGCAGATCTTGTAGCCAGTGAATTACCCTGCAGAAGTGGTAACATAAGTGTCAGCTTAAGGACGCTGAACCATAAGAATTAGCAAAAATTGCAGAATCCCAGAAGCAAAAGAATTTTCATCGTAACAACATATGAAATACATACATTTCTATCACTGTTGGCAAGTGATCCACCAACCACCACGCAAGACTGGGATTTAGCACAGATAAAGCCAGCATGCTTAATGTGATGATGATCGTAGATAAACAAAATTCCTCTGCAAATATGTTCAACAAAACCTTGTTTACCCTATATATGACAGAAATAGTGATGAACACCATTATCACTATATTAATATGAAAACACAAAGAATTGAGGATCTCACTTTGCAAGGACCCTCAAGAATCCTAACAACATCTTTCACTGATATTACGTTCTTTAACCAATCTTGTGCATATGTTTTCTTCTCAAGTTTGCATTTTATCTCTCTTAATCTAACAAGCAATACTTCTGGTGTTTCCAGAACTCCCTTAAGAACCTTTAAAAAAAGATGGGTTATACAATAATTCAACAAGAGATTCAATATAATTACTACATTGGCCACAAGAATTATATCAGTCACCTGGAAAGCTTCTGTTTCCACACTTATGATTACACCAAAGCCCATATTACTGTAACAAATTGACATACAGTATAAGAACTTGACTGAAAGAAAGGAAATAAGATGCCATGATAAATGAGAACTTACTCCAACAGCACAAGAATTTGGGTAACACCATGTGTTACCTCAGAGCTCTGAAAATACACGTATCTAAAAATACAATACATTTGGTGTTAGTTGTCCATTAGGTAAAAAGGGAGGGGGGGGTGGGGGCGGGGGCGGAACAATCAAGGATTTTAAAACCACAAAACAGAATACCACTCACATCTTCTTTAGTTGTATCAGACACGATAATTACACAAGGCCCATCAACCTTGATAACCATATCAGTTGCACCTTCTGCTGCACCAGAGACAACCTTCACATGATTCCCGGTTTCAAAGTACTTGCAAAGTTCTTTATTGCTTATAACGACAATATTCTGCCAAAAAAAAAAGAAGAAGAAGAATAAATAGACAGGTATTAATTAGGGAAACTTGATCTAAATGACTATAAAAACGGAAAGGAAATTCAATTTGTGTCATACCGCAAGGCCCTCCTCCAGCATTGGTTTAATATGGACAATGTCTTCCTCAACTTTTTCAACCCAACCCTTCAAATTCTTCAGATCGCCCTCAACAACAATAACCTGATCACCTTTCATAAAATGACCCTTCTTCCTGTTTGCGAATAAAGTGGATAGACTAGCCATATCTCCAACTCCACTCTCATCAAGTTGCAGGAATTTCTCAAGCTCATCAAAAGTTGGTTGTATGTCCTGAGTGCTAATTGACTTCATGGATATAGTTTTGTATAAGAAACCATCCTTGAACATCATGCCACATATATCCTCAAAATAATAACCAGTCATTGGATCTCGTCTATGCCCCCACACGGATATGCATATCTTTGAAGATGAAGCATAAAGGAATATCTTAAATAGATATGCCAGAAACACCGAGTAAAAGCTATGTTGCTATTAGACATGATAGAAACAAGGTTACCTCGCTTCGTCAACATTCATAAAACGTGGAGGAGGAACAAATGCCTTCTTCTTTGGAACTTCTCTACCTTCCTAGAACAAGAATAAGTTGCCTTTTGCTTACTAGGGCATTTCGATAAAACACATGCAATTGCATTTACATGAAAAATTCATATTAATCTGAATTTAACTAATTCAGTAAATATAATCAAACAATACAAAATGCTTACGTTTCTCGGGCTAAAAGAAAGTGATACTTTGTTAACAATAAGAGAATTAAGATAAGCTCTTATAAGTTCTAAGTAACAGATAATTAAGATATACCAATTTATTTGCCAGAGCCTGTAAATCGATCCGTGGAATTAGTTTCAATGTAACTCTATGGCATACATTATCCACATCTACAACCTAAAAAATAAAAAATAAAAAAACTTAAAGATCAAAAAGAAAAAATAATAGTAAAATAAGCTGAAAAAATAATATCACGAGGGCCATGAAGAAAGGAAGAAGGCCCACACTTTTGCAAGGTCTCCCTTGTATGTCCCAATATTCATTCTGACCCAAGCATCACGGGAAAGATTAATAGCTTTGCTTTCCACGGAAAGGACTTTAGTCATCTCTTCTGTTGGGACAAGCAGTACTTTATTAGAATATATGTTCCGCACGCCCCTACAAGCTTGAAGTACAATCAAATGGAAAAGGGTCAAATCATCACATATATGCATACATAGATTGCAAAGCTCTTCATTTAGTTGAGCAACACAAATGTATGATGCCTTGATACTGCATACCTCCTTCACATGGGCTTCTTTGTCTGCTTCAATATAAATATAGTTTTTGAGATGATCAAGTGCTATAGCTGACCTAATTTGCAATTCAGATCCTTTGTCAATGTACTTTTGCATTAGACAAACAACTACCTCCATCTCACGACCAATCTAGCACAAAAGAACAGACTTAATAAATACATTGTGATTAAATCAAGTAGGCACCATAGATTATGAAATCATAGAGGAGTGTTATAATACCACACACTTAACCATCCACAGCTTTGGATCCCTAACGGACGGCAAAAGAACTTGTTGTTCTACATCCATTGCTTCCTCATCATATTCCGTGTGAATTGACCTAGCATATCTTTTCTGGATGCGTCTTTCGAGAGCTTCAACATCTTCTTGGTCATCATCTCTTGTCAGCAATGGGCGATGGTGCATGCTCCTAGAGTCACCTTCATCTTTAAGTTCAGCTCCACCTTCCGCTATGAAGTCTGTATGCCCAGACATTCAACCCATCAGCAATGATAATGACATCATACATGTGTATGGGGGAGTAGTGGTGATGGAACACTGAATGTGTGTTTTTTTTCTTTCTTTCAAAATAAAATAATTTTAAGAGAAAAATCTTTTACTTCAAAAGGAAGTGCCGTGGAGGGTTGCAGTGATATCGATTTGTTACAACTAGGTAACATTTTTTTCAAGCAAAAAGAAAGTAGGTAATGGCCCCCTTCAAAAGTGGTATTATGTGGTATTCTTCATATAGATAGCAGCAAGAGATATAATTAAGCTTAATGCCCATTAGTTTACAAACAATAACCAACCTCGATTAAGTGTCAAATATAAGGAAGAGGTATATTATATTATGCAGCCCACTCGCATCATTTGTATAACCCAAAACACTATGCAATATTCATAATAAATCATTTCACCACGAAAGAACATGCTAATACAACTAATTTATGTAGGCAAAGTCAATATGTATAACACCAAAATCAATCTAGCATCTTTCGATGTGCTGTATTGGATTGTTGATAGTTGGACCCAATGGCCATCCTAAATTCAATTCAATCTCACTTTAAAATCACTATTCAATTCTAATCTCAGTTTAAAATCACTGCAAACACGTACATACACATATTTATCAACTTACATTCAAAAATTTAATCTTAAGAACTTCAACCGTGTTTATATTTCAATATTTTGACTCCAATTTGAATCATTCAACTTCATGCTTGCTCAATCACTCGATAAACTCAATATATGCATATACAGATTTACAGAGAACTGAAAATAGAGGGTTTATAATTTCAATATTCCGGACATCAATTTCAGTAAGCACGTGAATCATTCAACTTCATGCTCGCGAAATCACTCAGATAAACACAATATATGCATACAGATTTACAGAGAATTAAAATATAGGAAAGAAACCCTAACCGCCTTTTCGCGCAGTGACCACCACGCCGACAGTCATCAAGATCATCTTGGTCCTCCTTCTCGTCGGATCTCCGCCTCTTACGGTCGTCGCCGGTTAGACATGATTGTAGACACCGTAAATACTGAGTGAGACAGAGAAAGAGACTTTTTTTGGTTTTGTCTTCCATGGTAATTTGTGTTTAGATAAAATAATTTTAACACTCTAGTAACTAATTACTCCGTAATTCTTATTTTTTTTTAGTTTTTAAGTTATGCAGTTTGATCACATAAAATTTGTTTTAAAAAACATACAGTTACTTAATAAATAAACATAAATTAAAACAATTTTATCAAAATAAGTGGATTCAAATTTATATGATTACATAAATCTAAGCTACTAAAGTATCTAAAAAAAACCTTATTGAAGCAAATTATTTTTTTATAAAAAAAATACTTTAATGAGAGTGGATTGGTGAAGACATCCTTACATCACCAGTCTTGCTCTAAGTTTCAACAGTAGTAATCTAAACCACATGACTCACATGTACAACTAAAGCGAGTATCAAAATCATATGGTGTGTGTGAAGTAAAGAATTGTACTTCCCCTTTTTTCACAAGTTGCAAACAAGGAAAGTAAAGAATGTACACTATCATTTCTCTAACCATTATTATGTGAAGTAGAATCAGAATGCCACATTACAAGCTAGGAATAAAAAGGGACATATATATATATATATATGGGGTACTATTTTCTGCACTTGATTTAAGATATATATATATATTAGATCATAAAAAATATAGAGTTCTTAAGTGAAGAGTAATACAGAATCTTTAGGTCTTTTAGGAGTATTTTTTGCACTTGACCCATATATATATATATATATATATATATATATATTTAAGTGAAGGGTAAGACAGAATCTTTTGAGGTATTTTCTGCATTTGATCCATATATATATATATATACTTCCCCTAAAGATTCTATCATTGTCTTTACTTAAGAACTATATATATTCCCATGGTTGATGTCTTATTCTTCACTTAAAAATTGTGTCTTACTCTTCGTAAGTGAAGAATAAGACAGAATCAACCATGAGAAGAAAAACCTTTATTGAAAAAAAAAAAAAAAAAAAAAACTAAAAGAACAGAATAACCTTTATTCGGCTGAAGGAAGAGGAAGGAATAATATGTTTTACTATAAAAGGCAAGTATTAGACCTAAACTGATTGTATTTATTATAGACTTATAATTCCAGAAGTGGAGGAAAGTGAAGAGGAGCCTCAGCTTTTCCCTAATCATGTAAAATACTTTTATTGTAGGCCTGCATACACATCTATACATATACATATATATTTATATATTACACAATTGTTAATTTATTAGATTCTAATTCCTGTCTATATGTCTACATTATATAATGTTTGCATATCGATCGGTTCACTAAATTTATATATGTTATAATTGTTACTGATTAGACCTAATTAATTCCTGTGTATATGTTTACCAATATTTTCTAACATTTGCCTTTTGGTTCACTAATATTGTATTTGTTGACTTATTAGATCTCTAAGCACTTAAATTCTATAGTATGTATTTCTCTAAGTATTAGTTGTTATGCATGCATGTGTGAGAGTTTGGATATTTATTTATTTTTGAAAGAAAAGAAACCTAATAAATACTTGTTCAATTTTTTAAAAACACTTATCAATAATTAAAAATTTGAGAACTATTTTTAGAGAAAAATAAAAGACAATTGTTTTTTTTAAAGTGAGTTTTAAAAAATTGTCAATATTCAAAAAAACATAACAGATTTTGTTTTAAAATTAGGAAACTGTAATGAAAAACTAAAACAAACACACCCTTATTACACAATGAGTGCATGTGAACGATGAACACAAACATTGAAATGGATTATTGATTCTGATACAGAAAGAATATATATATATATATAGTGATGTAATAATATATTCATTAATTAATTGTGCATATATATATATATATATATATATATGCAGGTCAAGGCCACCAGCAGCAGTACCACATATTGAAATAACAATTGAGGAGGACAGAGAATATGATAGTGACCATCATATAAATATTAAATATATACCCCTATACATGGCCTTGGTGAAAGGTGAGTTGGAGGTTGTGAATGCCTTTCTGGATAAACATCCAGAGGCAATATACGATAGGGTTTCCATAATAGGGGAGACGCCCATGCACGTTGCTTTCTCGCACGGGAAAGTGGAGTTGGTGGAAGTGCTTTTTAAGAGGATGGAGGATATGAGTGATTCTGATGATGAAAAGCTGTGTGTCAAAGATGCTTATGGCGACACACCACTTCACATTGCTGCGAGAGCTGCAAACACAACAATTTCAAAACGAGTACTTGATCGCCCGGACTGGCTTGTGTCATTAACGGAAAATCCGGATGGAGAATTGCCGGTCAATCTCGCTGCAATTTACGATAACTGGAGCATGTTATTTGAATTAGCTAATTGTTCACGCTTATCTTGGCGACGGGCAGGTGCGTTGTGTGTATATATATATATATATATATATATATACACTTTGTGTGCTCTATAATTAACAACTTCTTTCAAGGTGACCTACAACATGATCATTTGTTCTAACATATTGCATAATTATATGATCAGAAAGTGAAGGATTTCACTTTTTTTATATTTTCATACATGAAGTACGTAGTACGCGTCACAAACATATTGCATAATTATATACCTAAATTATTTGTTCAAACTTTCAGATAGTTTTCTAAATTGGAGTACGTTCAGGGAATTTATTAACTGCGAGCAATTTGGTATGTAATATATGTACGTGATATATATACACACACAATACAAAATTTCATTAATTATATACACACACACACACACACACATATATATATATATAATTAATAACTAATTAATGAAATATCTCCTCTCTCTTTCATTGATACATGCACTCAAAGGGTTGGCAAGGGAATTTGGAGAAATCTTGGAGGGATCAGGACCGATGGATTTTAAAGATGGCTTGTATACAATGGCAGAGATGGTGTCTGCATTCTCTCAACCCGGATATTTTAAGAGATGGATATATTACTGTAAATACATTCTCATCTACTTAATTAATTTGTCTTTATTTATTTATTTTCTCTTTCTTAATTTCCTATTGCTATGTTTCGGTCTCATTAATTAATCACATACCTAATGTATTAATTGTATTTTAAGAGCTGTAACTGATTAGGACAGCGACTTGAATTCCCTCCTATCACAAGACAAATCTTATGCCTTAAAACGTTGACGTTCAATGTTTTGAGGTATGGTTGGCATCAATCTAAAATTAATCTTTTGCCTATTCGCACTGTTCATCTATTTATGAACTGCATGAGATTATTTTGTAAACTCTTCCACTTATACAATACCGAAAATAAATTCCAACCTCAATTTCAAACAATTTATTTTAACCACTTCAATATCCATACCCCAATTCGTGGGTTGCCAAAATTTATTATTAGGTCACAACTTTTTGGTACAGTAATTACTCTAACTTTGGGCTTGGGTTGGGCCTATGGGCTCTGTAATCTTTAATCGTGCTGCCGCTCATGGGCTTTCACAATGACCTGTACATTTATACAATTATATATAATAGTAATGCATTAAACTTTTTACTTTCAGAAAAAAAAATAATAATAATAATAAAAATAAAAACTACCTTCCTAAAAGGAAAATTAATACTCGAGGTGAGGGGCCTAGCTCTTGCTTTTTCAAATATATTTGCATGCAGATACGCGCTCTTGAGCCCGTCACATCCTTCAACAGCTACATTACTAATTTAGGATACACACACACACACACACACTCATTGATGTATGTATACGATTTGTTAAACATCATCAATTGATTTTATAATGTTCATGCAGTATCATTATAATCATCATGTATAATTTTTGCTTTTTTCATGCAGTATCATTACTTCCATATGGAGGGCGGGACCCGGAAATTTCATCTGTGGGAAGTAAGTAATAATGAGAAATTAAGATTATATAGTGTGTGTGTGTGTGTGTATAATCTGTTAGATACTCTCCTATTGATATATATTAATATATAGTTCTCTTTACAATATATTTCCATTGAATCCTTGATATATATATATAGGATTTGTGAAACATCTTCTATGCTTTTATGATGTTAATTCTAAAGTAGTCATCATGATTCATGTATAACTTTTTCCTTTTTCACGCAGCCATGCATGGAGGGATCAACCAGAGAATTTCATTTTGGGGTAAAAGTAAGAAATAATATGAAATTACAATAATAAAAGTATATATAATCTGTTATATATATATTTATATATAAAAGAAACTCTACAATATATTATTTATCTGGAGGAATTATATTTGCATATCTTTCACTTTCTATTTGTGTTTTTCTGTCTCTACTTTAAAAGTACTGTCACACTACAATTGTTGTAAATAGTTTTAGTTATGTGTGCCCCAAATTCCTACTCGATTGAGCTTTGATTTATAATGATGATTTAAGTATTCCTTACCCAAAAAAGATTTGTATTACTTGCTCACCTACCTGTGGGTAAAAGCTCTGTAGATAGAGATGAAAATGTGTCGAGAGATTAGAGAAGAAAAGAGATCAATGGAAGAGATTGTGAAGAGAGAAGAAGAAGAAAGAATATTGAAGCAACTATATATATATATATATATATATATTAATTTTAACAGATATTATGTTAAAAAATAATGTTAATTAGATGTGTTCTGCTGTGTAATATCTTCTTTTTTTTTTTTTTTTTTTTTTTTTCATGAAATGTATTACAGTGCTCAATTTTCTTAAAGCATCCAAGGTTGGTAAAGCAATAGGTACGCATGAGGGAACTATACTATTCATAAGGTTACTGCTTAATTTCCCAATACTTTTTAATATTAACTATTTTTTGTTTTTGTTTAATTTAATCATATTTCTACTTGGATAAGAATCTATTGTGGCTGAAGTACGGAACAACAAGCAAGCCCATGAGCTACTGAACAATATGTGCTCCCCTGAGTGGACTTTTGATATTAATCATGTTGAAGTAGTATACTTCGAGGCACTAAAAAGAGCCATCAAATGTGGGAATGTTGAATTTGTTGAGGAAATGTTGAGGTCTAATCCTGCTTTGTTATGGGGGGGTAAAAAAAGTGGAAGTATATTTCACCTTGCAGTTGCTTGGCGTCAGGAGAAAATATGGAACCTCATTTATGGTTTAACTACTGAACAAAGAAACAAGATCACTGGAAGACTGGTAAAATCAAACACCATATTACATATAGCTGCATGCCCACTGGTAATGAATGATAAATACAGAGGACTACTTTCAAAGGATGATTCGGAAAATCAAGGAGAACAACAACACTTACCACTCAAGGAATTCAGCAAAGCTCGAGATGCAGCTCTGATAATGCAGAGAGAACTACAATGGTACGAGGTATGGGATAATCTATATGTGCTATATATGTTAGTACTGATTGGAACTTCCATATATATTTATTGTTAATTTAATTTGTTCTTTCTCATTGATGATATAAAGGAGGTGAAGAGGATGGTCCCATCTTCATACAAACTAAAAGCTAATGAGTATGGAGAAACTCCTCCAGATTTGGACTCAAGCTATCACTATGAATTAATGAAAGAAGGAGAAAAATGGATGAGAGATACAGCAGAATCATTTACAATCGTGGCGACTCTCATTGTCACTGTTATGTTTGCAGCAACCTTCACATTACCTGGTGGTACTGATGATAACGGGAATCCCAAGTTCCTAATGTATAAATCCTTTATGGTTTACATTACAGCAGATGCACTCTCTCTATTGACTTCAACTATTTCATTGTTAATGTTCCTGAGCATCATCACTTCACGATATATCCAACAAAGTTTCCGATGGTCATTACACACTCGACTGATAACTGGTCTGGCTACCCTTTTCATCTCTATTGCAACCATGATGGTTGCTTTTGGCGCCACCCTTGTTATAGTGCTTGGCGAACGAATTAGTTGGTCGCCTACTCCAATCACTTTGTTTTCTGGGGCAGCTAGTGTCCCAGCAATCATATTTGCTTGGTTGCAATTTCCGATGTTTCTTAACCTAGTCTCATCTACCTATGGACATGCGCTCTTCAAGCGGAGAACAAAATGTTCCTTCCTCCACAACCTACGTGATCTTCCAAAACCCAAAGAGCCCTAGGTATAATTAATTATTATGCAATTAATGATTGTGGTGTGGTTCAATAAAATTGCTATTTGTACTTGTAATTATATGGATGACATATGCTTCAAGCAGAATAAGAGTGTGCATATATATATATATATATATTTCTGAAAGATGGAATGGCCAATTCTTAATTTCCCATTATTTACTTAGGTTTTTTTTATTTTTTATTATTTGTTTATTATTATCTAGTTGAATAATGCATCTCTCCTCAAACATATAATTAAGATATACCAATTTTTTTGCCAGAGCCTTTAAATCGATCCGGGGAATTAGTTTCACTGTAACTCTCGTCCATTAACATCCACATCTACAACCTAAAAAAAAAAAAAAAAAAACTTAAAGATCATGAAGAAAAATAAAATAAGATTAATAGCTTTGCTTTCCATAGAATGGACATTAGTCATCTCTTTTGTTGGGACAAGAAATACTTTATTAGAATATATGTTCCTCACACCCCCTGCAAGCCTTAAGCAGAATCAATTGTAAAAGGGTCAAATCATCACACACACACATATATATATATGCATGGATAGATTTTTTGCAAAGCTCTTCATTTAGTTGAGCCACACAAATGTATGATACCTTGATACTGCGTACCTCCTTCACATGGGCTTCTTTGTCTGCTTCAATATATATAACTATATATATATATATATATATATATATATAGTTTCTGAGATGATCGAGGGCTATGACTGACCTAATTTGCAATTCAGATCCTTTGTCAATGTACTTTTGTATTAGACAAACAGCTACCTCCAGCTCACTATCAATCGGTGTTTGGCAAATATTTAGGTTGAGGTTGAGGTCGAATTCATCGGAACGGGACGTAGTTAAAAATTAATGAGTAAATTATTATTATTATGTTTTAATATTTTTATTTTTTTAAAAATATTTTACGTTGAAACAAACGGAGCCAATATTTAATATAAGTACAAGGTATATTATATTATGCAGCCGCTTGCAGAATTTGTATAACCCAAAGCACTATGCAATATCGATAATAAATCATTTCACCATGAAGGAACATGCTAATACAAATAATTTATGTATGCAAAGGCAATATGTATTATGTATAACACCAAAATCAATCTAGCTTCTTTCTATGAGCTCTATTGGTTTGTTGATAGTTGGACCCCATGGCCATCCTAAATTCAATTCTAACCTCAGTTCAAAGTCACTGCAAACACGTACACACACATATTTATCAACTTCATTAAAAAAATTAATCTTAAGAACTTCAACCATGTTTATATTTCAGTATTTTGCCTCCAATTTGAATCATTCCTCTTCATGCTTGCAGAATCACTCGATAAACCTCAAAATATGCGTACAGATTTAGAGAGAATTAAAACATAGGAAAGAAACCCTAACCGTCTTCGCATTCTTTCTCTTTTTCTTCTTCATCGCTGTCCACAACCGCCTTGAGGTCAAAGAATTCAGACCCCGACCGCCTCTTCAGGCTGTGACATCCACCACGCCGACCTTCATCAAAATCATCATTGTCCTCCTCCTCGTCGGATCTCCGCCAATAAGACATGATTGTAAAAACCCTAACACTTTTGTGGACTAAAACTTAGCCACATTTTTTACCCTCATGTCACCCAGCCAACACTTTGTCTCACCCACCTAAGACTTCGTCTTCAGAGGGAGAACACAGAAACCCTAGAAAGTAGTCATCGTTTGAAGAAGTAAACAATCATTGTAGGAGGCACTGAATATGAAAAAGGAGAACACACACAACTTTTATATTAAACTCACAAATTTTGATATATTCTTTCTCACTTAATACATGACCCGATCTAAAAAGACACAAAATACAAGAGAATAATTAAGACACTAACTTTAACACAAGTGTTTCATCTTCCAATGAGATAGTTTATGTATTCCACATATGATCGAGTTGGTTCATGTATTCCACATTTGAGTTGGTTCATGAATTTGGTTTAATTTTTCAACAATGCCTCCCGTAAACCAAATTTGCTTTTCATTCCCAACTTCGCAAGATTCTTCTTGAATAAAATTCCACCGAGAGGCTTTGTTAATAAATCTGCCAATTGTTCATCCGTCTTGCAATATTCAACTTGAATAATTCCTTCATTAACAATCTCCCTCAAGAAATGATAACGGATGTGAATATGCTTCGTCCTTCCATGTAGAACTGGGTCTTTTGTAATAGAGATAGTTGAACTATTGTCACAAAATAATGTTGTTGGCCTATTAGTTCTTGCTTATGCTTGAGATTTTCCAAAATACCTTGCAACCAAATGATTTGACAACCGACAAGTGAGGTAGCAATATACTCCGCTTCCATTGTAGAAAGAGCCACAATAGTTTCCTTCTTCGAACTCCATGAAATTGCACCGCCTCCAAGATTAAAAACATAGTCAGATGTGCTCTTACTATCATCAATACTTCCCGCCAAGTCACTATTGATCCGTGTAGCCAACAAGTTTAACCGGAACAGTTGCTTATAAAAAAGTACCATAATCAATGGTTCTTTTCATGTACCGATCAAAATTCTTTTTGCAGCCTCCCAATGACTTGAGTGTGGTTTCTCCATGAATCAACTAACCAAACTTACCGCAAACATTATATCCGACCTTTTAGCTATTAAGTACATCAAATTTCCAATGCTTTCAAATGCAAAAATATTCTTTGCAATCTTCTTTGCCGTGCAGACTTTGCATCTTGTCTTCTTCATGAGTCTATTCTTTTTCTTCACCCGAACTAGAAGTTGATCTCCACTATGGTTCTTAAGCTTGGCTTGAAAATTTTTAAACTTTAGGAATTTACTAATGACTTGCTTACTTGAATTAAAGAATGTTTCCAAGTTCACCCATGTTGTATCACTTGAGAAATATCGTATAGAAAAATTCCTTAAGTTTTCTTCAACAATAAAATCATCCAATTGAACATACTCATTTTCTTTAGAAATTGAATATATTACTTCATGTGGAATTTCAAACCTTTTGTTTTTTTCATCAAGATTTTCAATTCCTCCACCAAATTCAACTGTGATAATTTCTTCTTTTGTGAACGCTTCACTATCTATTTCTTTCTTACCTTCTTTAACTTGATTTTTTTTTTAATTCTACCTCTTTAAGTACTTCACCATTAGTATTTACTAATTCTTATTTTTCCTCTTTTTCTTCTCTTAAATTTTTTTCTTCATCACCATTAACTCCTTTTGCTTCTATTTTAAACTCCACTTCTAAAATTTTCTCGTCTTCCATCTTTTAACTTTTCTCATCAAATTCTATTTTTCTAAATCTTTTTTTTTTTTTCCATCTCATCAAAATTCTCTTCATTTTCATCTTCTCAAAGAATTTTTTCAAAATATCCATCTTCATTATAATTTGGGAATCAATATTCAGTGAATACTGATTTGAATTTATGTGACGGCCCTAATTTTTTAAGCCAGTGCGTCCTTTGATGAACCAAAGTTTGACCTGATAACGGATCTAAATGCGGAAGCGAAAAGAGAAACCAAGTCTCTAAAGATGCAATGCATCTCTAAGATGCCAAAGTGACCTTCTATAAGACCACGGAACTCAACGAGAACAAACGCGGAAAAAAAAGATCGGAAGAAGACCAAATAAGCCCTCAAGGGCAAAATGGTCTTTTTACATAGAAACAATGTCTCTAGGAATGTACACCATCCCTGAGACACAATCATGACTTCTCATGAAGCTACGAAAACAAAAGGAAAACAAGCGGAAGAGACGTTTTAAAAAAATACAAATTTAGTCCCAAGGGCAAAATGGTAATTTCAAGTAAGATCTGCATACTATCGAGCACACCATTGGAAAGATAGCAAAAAATTAATCAAGTTAGACTCAATAATCACTTGATTCGGAATCCGGATGGAAGCAAAAAGTTAAAACAAAGTTTTGACGTCGTCACGGCTGTGAATAGTGTTTTGACAGCAATGAATTGTGTTTTGACAACAGTGAATAGTGACCTAGGCAAAATGCTGAAATTCGTGTGCTATTTTGAGGTACTAAATGACATTTTTTAGAAAAACACGAAGAAGAAACCCTACTCAAAATAATTTTTTCAAGCTGACTATATCGAAAGAAAATTTTATTTTTGACGTGAAATTCCCAAAATGCCCTTATAATAGACTTTTTCAAAAAATGCATGTGTGCACAGAAAATCATAATTGACACAGGATTTTCGAGACCGAGACTGCATTTTCTGAAAAAATGTTGTGAAGAAATCTCCCCTAAAATCACTTTTTCTGTGTGACCATGTCAAGGCTAGAATTTATTTTTTTTAAAAAATTCCCAAAATGGCCCTAAATCAGTTTAGGTAATTAAAAAAAGAAAAGAAAAAAGGTAAACAACTTTGCACCAAGTGTTCATTTGACCCTAAATGGTGTTTTGTGCTAAAACGATTATGCATACGAATGTATTTAGTGATTTTAAGTGCACAGGAATGGTCCGTGGCTCCCAAAAATACCCGATGTACAATATGACCTATCCGAACCTCAAAATGCAAAGAAAATGCCTTAAATAGAAAAATTGAGACTAATAAGCATTCATGTCACACAAATGTGATATTTTGTACAAGGTGAGCATCCACACAAACGTAATATACATATTTACACGTATTCCAATGACCTATGGCCTCAATGGTCTCTAAATACAAAATATCACCTATTAAACTTCAAATTTTGCCTAAAATGACTTTTAAAAGAAAATTTGAAACTTAAAACTATAAAATGGTTTCAAAAAACCATTTGGCCCTTGGCCACACTTCATGCATAAATAAAGAAACCTTATGGAAGTGCTAAAGCGCACTTTCTACACCCCATTCAAATGTAGTGAAGTTTAAAGTATGTCATTTTTCTATTTTTCAATAAAATCACTTAAAGATAAAAGTACTTAGAATACAAATAAAATGTCATTGGCCGATGGCCTCATTACATACATGTCAAATACATCCCAAATGGCGCACTTAGGTGATCATTACATATTTAGAACCAAATATACAAGTTTTGACATTTTGAATCAAAAATAGTATTTCATGCTAACATTTTCATGAAATAGATACTTCAAGTCTATAAGACATCCTAAAGTAAATGTAAAGCCCCAAATCTTGAATCATGTACCTGAAAATGTCCCCACTACGTGGGTGAGTAACATAAAGCTACTCGTAGGAGATGAACATGCATAGACCTAACATTTTATAAACTTATTAAGTTGCTATAAATCAATTCATACGGTCATGCCACTTAGCATCTGTGTCAAATGTGAGACTCAGGGAGCATCCTAAATTACCTTAGAGCATTTCTAGCATAAACC